CAATCACCGGGGGGCCGGCCCGGAGCGCCGCCAATCGGCGCGCGACGTGTCCGGCCGCCCCAGAGTCCTGCGCGCGGGGAACGGGGCGCCGGTGATGGGCGGGGCGACGCGGGCGCATGCGCAAAGTTCCCGTTTGCGCTAGGGCCGGAGCGCGAACTTGAGCAGGCGGAAGTGACGCGACTCGGTCGCCATGTTTCCCGCCGAAGCGAATCCAGGCCCCCCCCACCCCCCACCTCCCGCTTTCCTTTGGGAGGACGTCCCGTTTCTGTCAGGGTTTGTTGAGTTCTTGGGCGAGGAAATGTTTGTTTCACGGCACCTATAGTGACCCCTGATGTGTGAAACTTCTCACATCTGTTCCGTCGTTTCATCCGCACATCGCCACGTCAGACTTAAATTCCTCCATTAGAGACTGGGAAACAGGTTTGGATAGACTGTCTTTGTGCATTAGCACGGAACCTGGGAGGATGCAGGACGCAGAGGAGGCATCTCATGACCTGTCTGCGCCCATCCAGTCAGTGGGGCTTCCACTTGCTGTAAACTCCACAGCCAGAGAAAAGGCCCTGGCATCGTGGAGCTGCCTGGTACTATCTCCTGGCCAGAGTCCCTATGAGCTGGCACACCCAGCTAGGCCTGGATGTTCTCCTCTTGATCGAGACAAAACTCCAAAACCAAAAAACCAAACTCGTTGCCGTCGAGTGGATTCCAACTCATATACCAACACTACAGGACAGAGTAGAACTGCCCCATGTGGTTTTTCCAAGAGCTGGTGGATTCGAACTGCTGACCTTTTGGTCAGCAGCCAAGATCTTAACCACTGTGCCACCAGGGGTTCAAGAAAAAACTAGACCCCTCCGAAATCATGTCTGAAGACAGACAAAACATGAATACTGTCCAAGCCACAAAACTGACCAAACATCCCCCTATCCTAGCTAGTAAGACTGACTGCTGCCTCTTTACCAATTACGAGTTTAGTCTTTGTCTAGTCTTCCTGTCCTCTAGATTTATACTGATGGAATTACCTTGCCTTTCTGTTACCATCCAATCCAGAGCAAAGCCCTGCTTCCTTAAGCCTGCCCCTAAATCACACGTGGGGCCACGACGAATCAACTGGATAGCAACTGTTTTTAACCTGAGTCTCCCCAGATGGAGGACTGGGGTAGGAGGATTTGGTTAAAATAATATATCCTGAGGGAGAAGTGACCAAGCCTTAAGGGGATGGATCAAGCCTTGGAGGAACAAAGGGGCAGAAAGCAGAGAATGTGGCGCTGGACCAAGGAGATACGGAGTATGCTCCAAAGCCAAGACAGGGTCTGGGCCTCTTTCTCCCCCTCCCCTCTCCACTTCCCTGATTTCCCTTCCACTCTGTCAAGCTCCAGGCAAGGCTGACAGATCAGCCAGGAAAGAAATAACGAGCCCTTTTGAGATTTGGTTTATTATGGAGACAAGAAAGGAAGCACAGACGTGGCCGGGGGCCAGCTCCCATGGCCCTCCAGCAGGGTGACAGAAGAGTGACCAGATGATGACATGGATGGCAGGACCCGCAGTACTGAGGAGCCCTCGTCACACTGCAGCCGGGCACTGAGGTGCTGAAGCAGGAAGTCTCCTGCCTCCTCAGAACCTGGGAGGGATAAGAACTGTCCCAACAGCCTCCTGGGGGACAAGGAGACAAGTGGGAGAGACCTGGCCAGGGCTCCCCTGCCCTGGTGCTCCGGGAGGGGCACAAGGTGTCCACCCAGACATGGAATCAGCCCTGGGTCCAGCCTCGTCCATGTGGCCAATGTGGATACGTTCAAGGTCGCCAAGGGGCCCTGGGGGAGCTGCTCCCCTACACTTCCTTCTCAGAGTTCCCTTCGTGTCCCTCCACTCCCAAGACTACACCATCAGGGATGTCTGGAAGCACAGAGTGATGGGCAGGGTGGGGGACTGGTCCTGAGAAAAATACAAACATCTCATAAGCTTAAGCAAAGATGCACCATGTCCCACAGGAAACAGGAACCCAAAACCATCGGATGCCTTGGGAAGGTTTAAACAGGGAGGGCTGTGGACAGACACTTTCTAAATAAGTGCATCGCTTGTTATTCTAGCAAACCACTCTCTGGGTGTAATACTTCAGGGTTCATCAGGTTTTAGTGCTTAAAAACAGCACCGTGTGCCAATACCCCGAAACCAGTATCGCGGTCCCTGGTGAGGTTGCCCCTGCAGGCCAGGGGCAGTGGGAAAAGCACAGACAGGGTGGTGGGGTCTGGATGTGGAGGGCAGCCTCCAGGATGGCCCCAGTGAGCCTATCTCCTGGTATATACACCCCATGTAATCCCCTCCGAATGTGGGTGAGCCCAACGAACAGACAGCAAAACTGCTGAGGTGCCACCTTGCCCGCGCTCTCCTGCTCTCTGCTCCATCAGTGGGCGCCAGCAGCCATGACGTGAGCTGCCCTCAGGAGAGGCCATGCGGTGAAGAACTGAGTGAGGCCTCCAGCCAAAAAGCAGAAAAGAACGAGGTCCTCAGTCTAATAGCCCGTGAGGAACTGAATCCTGCCAACAACCAGGCGAGTGAGCTTAGAGGGCCCCTCCCAAGGGAGCCTTCAGCTGAGAACACAGCCCGGCCGATGACTGGCTGCAGCCTGTGAGAGAGGCCTTGAGGCAGAAACACCCAACTAAGCTGTCCCTGGACTCCTGACCCAAGGAAACCGTGAGATGATAGCTATTTGTTTTAAGCTACTAAGTTGTGTGAAAATTTGTTACACAGCAATAGATAACTAATACACGCGGGGAGGAGGCGTTTTTCTGAGTGGTCTGGAGCAATCTGACCCTGCAAGCTCGGCTCTGCCTCCCCTTGCTGGGTGTCCCAAGACTAGCCCCCTCAGAGCTCGGGGCGCAGGGCGTGAGGCCGGGCCACGTGGAGTCTGATGACCCATCCATTCCTACTGCAGGAAGCTGCTCCCGGGAAGCGATGACAGCACGAACCCAGTCGCAGGTGTGAGGGCAGTGTGAGCGCAGGCTCTACATCCAGCAGGAGAGAAGAGGAATAAGGGGTATGTCATGACCACGGCCACCCCCAGGGAAGCCCCTGTGCTTCACTCCCACCCTGCCTTACCACCCCGATTTCCCTCCTATGTCCAGGTGGGCTCCGTCACAGCGGGGATCTGAGGTTCCCACTGGGGTGTCTCAAGTCAAGAGTGGCTGGCTGTGCCTCTGCTGATCGTCTGCCTCCACCGTTAGATCCTGTACCTCTGCCGTCAGACCCTCTACCTGTCAGATCCTCTACCTCCTGTCAGATCCTCTGCCTCCACCTTCTCACCCTCTTCCTCTGCCCTCAGACCCTCTACCTCCGCCCGTCAGACCCTCTACTTCTGCCCGTCAGACCCTTTACCTCCTCCTGTCAGATCCTCTACCTCCACCTTCGGACCCTCTACCTCCACCTTTGGATCCTCTACCTTCACCTTTAGACCCTCTACCTCCGCCCATCAGATTCTCTACTTCTGCCCATCAGACTCTCTACCTCTGCCCATCAGACCCTCTACCTCCTACTGTCAGATCCTCTATCTCCACCTTAAGACCTTCTACCTCCTCCTGTCAGATCCTCTACCTCCACCTTCAGACCCTCTACCTCCACCCATCAGATTCTCTACCTCCACCATCATACCCTCTACCTCTGCCCGTCAGACCCTCTTATCTCTACCATCACACCTTCTACCTCCACCCTCAGACCCTCTACTTCTGCCGTCAGAGCCCCTACCTCCTCCTGTCACACCCTCCACCTCCACTGTCAGATCCTCTACCTCCACCCATCAGACCCTCTACCTCTACCATCACACCCTCCACCTCCACTGTTAGACCCTCTACGTTCACCCTCAGACCCTCTACCTCTGCCATCAGAGCCCCTACCTCCTCCTGTCAGACCCTCTACCTCCACCTTCAGACCCTCTACCTCCACCTTCAGACCCTCTACCTCCACCCATCAGACTCCCTACCTCTACCATCACACCCTCCACCTCCACTGTTAGACCTGCTGCCTCCACCTGACAAGAGCACACCCTCCTGCAGGGCTCACAGGCCACCTCCTCCGGGAAGCCTTCCTTCCTTCTGTTGTCTGGCCCTTTTCTGAACCCCCAGCCCTATTTACTGTTCTTCTCTCACAGTCCTTGCCAGGAAATGCCTGCCTCCTCTGGGGTGGCTTTCTCCTTAAGGCAGAGGCCCACTTCCCCCTGCAGGTGGTAGAATTTCCCAATGGACTGCCTCCTGTTTACAGCCAGCCGCAGGGATTTGTTCTCAGCTTCCCGCCCTGTGGTGGCTGCAGGGCCGGAGCTCAGGGTCTGGACCCCACTGTCCTGTTAGTACCCAGGGACAGCCACCTCCCAAAGAAGTTGAGGACACAGAGCCTTGGTGCAGACCGGTCTTAAGCTACAGCCCGAGGACAAAAAGTGAGAGCCTGGTGCCCCAGGACCTCCAGGGGCCTCCAGAGGGACAACCAGCACCCAGGTCTTGGGGTTCCCCTGGTGAGGAGAACTGGAGTGTGGGCTTGTGGCCGGGCCCACAGCTGTCATGTTCCAGCCTATGAGTCAGTTCGTGTGGGAACCATGTGTGTCCGTCCCGACTTTGGCCCCCTCATCCCCAACAAAGCCTGGGTCCCTTCACCAAGTCTGAAGCCCCACTGAAGAGCCTGACCCTGCACTGGTTCTCAGCACACTGGCTGGCGGCCGCTTTTAACTGTCAGAGTCAAGGCCGGCAGGGATACAGTCTGCCCCTCTCCTTCACGTGGGCAGCCGCCTCCCCCAGGACTCACCTTGGCCAGCGTGGACACACTTCTGCCCGCAGGTCTCTTTCAGCATGGTGAATATGGCAGCTACAGTCCTGCCCGGGGCCGTTCAGAGCTCAGACCCTGCAGCGGAGGGACAAGGCCGAGGAGCATCAGCTGCCCCTGCAGAGGCTGGACTGTTCCCCCTCCACAGCCACCTCCAAAGGGTGCAGGCGCAGCTGGAGGGAGGGAGGCTGAGGGAGGCTGGAGAAGAGCAGGAAGGCAAGGCAGAAGCCGGAGTGGGGAAAAGCGCAAGGATAGGAGGCGGAGGAGGAAATGAAACAGGAGGGAGAAGGCGGCAGGGAGGAGACACAAAGGCAGGGAGGACGGAGGGAGAGAGGCAGACGGAGAGCAGGCACAGACCGTGAGAGAAGGGAAGAGATCCCAGAGAGCGCAGGGGAGGGTGACCATGAGAACGCGTGGAGACAGAGAAAGCAGATTCTAACAAGATAGTATCCCACTGAATCCTCAAAGCAAGGCAGGCACTGTGATGGAGAGACAGAGGCTTAGAGAGACACAGAAGGAGGGAGAAGAAGAGAAGAAGGGAAAAGGAGAGACAGTTGAGGAGGCAGGAAGAGAGAAAGTCAAGAGACAGACCAAACAAACAAAGAGGCGCCCCGCCCCATGGGACGTGGGACGCAGGAAGACATTCTGAACACAGCCGCACACGACAGAAGTGCTGGGCCCAGATGACTTCAAGTGAACTCTGAGAACTTTAGGGAGATGTCACCCCACTGCCACTGGACGCTAAAGGGAGCCCTGGTGGCACAGCAGTGAAGGGCTCGACTGCTAACCCAAAGTTCAGAGGTTCGCACCCACCAGCTGCTCTGCGGGAGAAAAGACCTGGTGATCTGCTTCCATAAAGATTACAGCCTTGCAAACCCTGTGGGGCAGTCCTGTTCTGTCACACAGGGTTGCTGTGGGTTGGAATGGACTCGGCAGCAGGTTTGGTTTCGACCCTAACGCTGTGTGAACTACTCCCGAGCGCGGAGGACAAAAGCGGTGCTGCCCGTCTTTTCATAAAGGCGGCTGAACACTGACACCAAACTGGGCACGGAGAGCCCACGGCAACACGGCAGAACAATGTCTGTTAGGGGTTTTGAGGCGATCATCCTACACAGAATTACGTACAAGCCAGATTCCAAAGGATATCGATCCCGCCATGACCAACTGGGGTTCCTTACGAAAACACCAGTAGGGCTCAATATTTGTGAATCCAGTCACAAAACAGCCCGTACTGAGAGGTCAAAGGACAAAAATAAGAAAACATGTAATTATCTCAAAAGATGCCAAAAGACACCCCCAAAATTCAATATCTATCCCTAATTTTAAAGAAGTTTGTGCAATAGTAAATGGATGCAACAGGAAGGCTACGTTCATAGGGCATGGAAAGCTGCGCTCGCATGCGCTGAAGGTGGCAGTTTTCTAGGGCAGCAATCCAACTATTTACAAACCAGTGACATGCCCCTTGCCCAGCCATTCTAATTCTAGAAACTTACAGGGCAGGCTTGCAAGGATGCTCGACAAACCTTGGAAACCCCCTTCTAGCTTGCCAGCAGTGGGAGGCCCTGTGCTGGGGACAGTGAGCAGGTGCTGCCGCGGACGGGTGCACCAGGTGAGGTCCACGAGGGAGGGCTTTGTCCTCTTCACCCTGAGCTGACAGTGCCTGCAACAGTGCCTGGCACACAGTCTACATGGCTGAACACGATTCCATTGCTGAGTTCCAAAAGTCGCAGAATACAAGGTATAAAAAAGTCCCATTTGCATAAAAAAGAAAAAAACATTTATCCTAGATAGATGTGTTTGCGAATGCTTACGGGGCATCTAACAGGCCACCCAGAAATGCCAAGAAACGTCACCGTGGTTACTTGTGGAGACAGAGGTGAAGGTATGGAGTAAAAAGTGGGAAGGAGACTTGTACTTTTCATTGTATCCCTTCTGTATTGCTAGAATTTTCCTAGGAATATGATTGCTTTTATATTAAAAATCCAGTTTAAGAAAAGGTTGCTTAAGCTACCTAAGCCTCGGTTTCCTCATCTGTGAGATGAAGAATAGTGACACCTACTGCGGAGGGTCATTGCCACATTGTAAGAAGACAGAAGACCGTGTGTAGAGTGCTTTACACCAAGGCCCTGCCATGGCCCTGATAAATGCTGAATAAACGGTTTGTTATTGCTATCGTCACTGAGAGAAACAGAGAAAAAAACAAGGAGCATTTTTTAAAAGACTACAGGAAATACACATTTTTTTAGACATTCAGCTCCAGCCACACAGTCCTTCGAACAGGAGGAGGCTATTCCTCCCTAAAGGCCTGTGCGCTTGTTATTTACTATACCTGGAATGTTCCTTCTCAGGAGGGCTGCTTGGCTCATTGCCTTGCTTTATTCAGTTCTCTGCCCAAATATAACCTCAACAATAGCCTACCAGCCAGGATGTCCCTGATCAATTTCTCTCAAACTGCACCCTGCTTCCTTGTCCCTGGACCTGACTGACTTTTCTTCCTGGCCTGCCGTATTATATACTTATTGTGTTTCCCCCCATTAGCGTCTAAGCTCGAGAAGAAACTTAACCTGTTTCTCTGTGGCTCCTAGAATAGTGCCTGACCAAGAGTAGGCACCCGAGAGAGATCTGTGGAACGAATCAGCACTCTCTGAGATAGGCCATCAGAGAAACAAAAGAAACTGCGGAAGAATCTCCGTGAAGCCCGGGGTGGGCAGGACAGGCTTCACACAGGAGGTGACATCTGAGCTAACCGTGTCCTATTCATCAGGAGGCAGAGTGGAGCGGGGGGCGGGGGGTGATGGTCAGCGGTGCAGCAAGACAAAAATCTGGCCAGGGGTGGGAACAGAAGGTGGAGGCCTTGGAGGCAAAGGTAGTAAGTTCTGACTTGGGCTATGGGAGTCATGGGCCTGCAACACTTTGCTAATCTGCAGAACGTTCGTTGGACTTTTGAAAGGGCTGAAGCTCAGGAGGTGATACTGGATGAATGAGTCTTCTTAATGGGACTTCTCCAGGTGAGAGATAAGAACCTGAACTAAGGATGCAGCCACAGGAATAGAGCAAAAGAGACAGGTGTAAGAAACCTAAGCTTACTCATTCACTCTATTAAGGAAGTAGAATTGACAGTTCCTGGCACTGCTTACACAGAGGGGCTGAAGGAAAAGGAGGTGTCTAGATTAGCTATCAGGTTTCTGTTTTGGATGATTAAAGATGGTCAGGTTGCTGTCGTTGGGGATCCAGAACACAAACGGAGGTGCAAGTTTTGCAGGAAAGTTGAGCTCAGGTTTGAGCTTGCTGAACGTGAAGAACCCGTGGGATACCCAAGAAGTGACAATCAGGAGGCATCTGGATAAACCTGAGTAGAGCTTCAGAGAGGACTGAGCTGGAAATAGTTTTTGGAGTCAGCAACACAGTAGGTGCCATGGGGACCACACAGATTGTAGTACAGCCTTTAGAGATAATAAGAGGAAAGAGAAGTGGGGCCCGGCAGTACTGCCGGCTGAGGAAAAGAACCATGCTCGAATTTGAGAAGGAATGGCTGAAGAAGAAGAAAAGTAGGCGGAACAGTATTTTAAGAAGCGTGAGGTGTCAACAGTGTCACATGCTGCAATGTTCAGGGAAGAGGAGAACCAAAGAGTCTACTTGGCAATTGGGAGCTCACTGGAGACGCTGCCAGAAGTTGTCAGTAGAGGGCGGGAAAGGTGACCAGCTGGAAATTCTGGGAAGGGCAAATAGGTGAGGAAACGAAAAACATGAGAATGAAGATTATCGTCGAGAAACCCAACAGTGAAGAAAACGGGAGGACAATGAGTAGGAGACTCAGTGAAGCTGAGAACAAGTTTCCTGGGAAAGAGTGGAAAGACGGAAGGCTGGAGCTCAAGGTTTTGGAGCTAGCACAACGGTGAGGGACGACACGGTCCACGGCATGGTCGCTGACTGAGACGTCTAAGTGTGCATACAGGATTTTTCAAGGTTAAGGTGGGGGAGGATCTATAGCGGAGAGGAAGCTAGCACCCCAAGTGTTATCCATCGTCAGGTCAGTGGATAGCCTGGCAACAACGGGGAGCGGAACCGGTACAGCCAGAGGGCTGGGTCCCCAGAGCGGGGGCCGATTTTGGACACGAGAATGGAAAAGAATATGTCTGGGTGCGCCCGTGAGGAGCTAGGAGGCTTCTGGGCCATTGGCTAAACCCTCATCCCTCCTCCTTCTAGGCACGTTTAAACGCAAGCACTGACCTTAATCATCTGGTAAGATCCGGGTTTCCCTGGCTGCTCTCGACCAAGGCATGCCACGTGTCTATCCCTGCACGGCTGACGCTGGCCTGTGGTTCTCGCTATCGGCTCCTGCGAGGACCTGTCCGTCTCCTCTCTATTCCTCGGCACACAGCAGGTGCTGAAGACATTTGAAGAAGGAATGCACGGTCAATAAGGCTTGTTTTCCCTCCTCGAGAAACCTACTTCCATTCCACAGCCTGAAATGCCCTGCTCCTTCCTCGGCCTCAGGCGTTGTCGACTGCGGCGGCATCAGACACCGACGTCCCAGGACACCGGCCTCCCGGGTGGGCTGGAGCCCGCACACGCTGCGCAGCCGGGACTCCTCCCTGCCTCCGCCCCCTCACGCCCGGCTCGGGCTGCGGGGCTCCAAGTCGCCGGCGCCTCTTCACCGCTTTCTCTCTTGCTCCCAGAAGTGCGGGGAGGCGGCAGCCTAGTCCCCGCCGGCCCGAAAGTCGCTTAACAGATGGCGCGAGTCCGCCGGGCACCGTTGGCACCGCTCCGGCACCGGGTTCGAAGCTCGCGGCGGCGGTGAGAGCGACCGCCGGGCGACGGAGGCCTCTGGGAGTCGTAGTCCGGGCTCGGCCTGCAGAGGCCTCGGGGAGGAGGAAGTCGAAGGGCTGGAACTACATCTCCCAGGAGGCCCGGCGGTTCGCCACGCCGGGGGTGGAGGCGGGAAGGGGGCGTGGCCAAGACCGTGGGCGCGCCCCCGACCTCTTCCAAGCGTCTTCGAGCGCAGTGCCCCGACTCCGGGATTCCAAAATTCCCCTCGGTTGATCTACACCCGCTCCAGGCCGCCCCGGCATTGTTAAAGGGTTTACAGCCCGAGGCGACCAACCCAATCCTAAGAGGCACGTGGGCTCTACAAGCTCGGATAGGGCAGGATAACTGCCATCCCGGGGGGACTTGAAGCCGAGAGGTGGGG